GAGGGGGAAATCATGCGGCACTGCCACGTCGGAATACACTCTAAAACACATCTTACACTATATAGATACACGCCGATACACTCCTGATACACACCTGATCAGACGGAGGAGGCAAACGGGCACTCGCGGACGACCAGATCCTCCCTGGTAACCGAGTAACCCGGTGGCGAGAAGCGCAAATTGCTGTCCCCTACACGCGTGTGCGAAACTCTGCTCTCAGCTCCCCTCATTTCACCCCCTGTACCGCCTAACTTCCCCCCCTCCCTCCCCGACCACTTTCCCTCTCTTCCATTCTTTCCCACACAGCCCCTGCTCATTCCCTCACTCTTCTCCCCCGCCCCGCTCCCTCCCTCCTCTACGCCCCCGACACCATTCCGTACGTGCCTGATAGAACTCCCGTACATCCACATGCAGCTTGCCGGCCCATTTGCGGACCCGCGCCTTGCGCCGCCCACTCAGGTCCGAGCTGTACAGCACCTCGTCAGTGCTGGTGGTGCCGGTGCCGGAGCGGGAGCGCTTGGCAGCGGCGGTGGCGCCATCCTCGCCAGCAGGCCGCTTGCGGCCGCGCTTGGCCTTGGCGGCCCTGGGCTCGCCATCGCTGTCGTACTCCTGATCGCTGCTGCCGGCCGCGCCGCCTTCGTCGCCGCTGGCAGCTTGAGCCCTGGGCGCCTCCTGGGCATCGAACTCCTCCAGAAACTTCTCGATAACGGACTGGGGAGGGGGTTAGCGGAGGAAGGGGAAAAGGGGAAGAAAATGAGCTGAGCGTGTGGTCTCGGGACACGCACGCGCGTGTGTTACAAGTTACAAGTGTGTGTGCCTCGACGTGTTTTGACGGAGCGGGACGCAGTAGGATGACTCACATGGAGCGGAGGCTAGGAGCGGGGATGGCCACCTGCCCATGGACCAGACAACTGACAACGATGGCTCCACACGCGAACCCACCGAAACATGGCGTTTGTATTCCGCAATAGGCTTGCTCAAAGACAACGTGTTTTGGACGTGTGTGAGTACTATGCGCTCGGTGGTGACGTTCCTGCAGAATTGGCTTGGCGTGAAGATGCGGTCAGTTGTACCCAGCACTAATACAACTCACATGTCAGCTGTTTTTAAGTAGTCGTTAACCACCTGCAGGTAGACATAGGAATGTGAGCTGTCGCAGCCGTCTTGCCGCTTAGGCAGCGAAACCGTTCACCTGCGTAATCTGCTCTTCTTCCGCATCAGCCATTGCCGTTACATATAGATTTGAAGGCAGTTTTGCAGCAACTTCAAAGGTGGATAAGCGGCGCTGGTCAGTTGCTTCGAATAGGCTGCGATAGCGTTGTCTACAGGGCTGAACCGTGTTCCGTGCAATTTGTTCTTTGGCGGTAAGCAGAAGCAAATATGCACGTCTGCTTGTGGTGAAGGCGCGGCTTGCTTGAATCCGGAATGTAAACATTCGCTACGAAACCCGCCGGAACCGTTATGTAAGCTTGGTGAAGTCCAGGCCACTCCACGCTAACGACGCATGCTACACGCTTTAACAATACCTTGTCATAGCTTGTCACAACTATCGGCATCTTAATCGGGCCTTACAAATCCAGAGAGGCGTACTGTCCACGGCACAGCACGCATCTCGAATGCAAAGTGGCTAGAGTGGCCAAGGTTTAGGCATTGCCATAGCATCTGACCAAGGCAAATCCATCACAGCGTCCCTTCCTGGTCCTAGGTGCTGATTGGGTGGTGCTGTTATACCGCCCGAGGGCCCATGCATGTCCTATCCTACAAAACCAGTCTGAACAAAATATGCAGCCGCACCTGATATCTAAACCTCCAAGATCAGAAGGACCTCCGAACTAAGCAAAGGCGTCCATGTAAAGCTAGGGAAACGCACGAACAGCGTCGCACGGCGTTGAAGCAACCGCTGTCCCAAGATTGACTGAAAAGAGGGTCTCTGCCAGGGCCTCGATTCACCAGTTATCAAGCGGCGCATTCCACAACACACACCCACACGCGCGCAGGGCCCTAACCACAATCCTTAGCTTCAGTGCTACAAGAAAATTTTATTTTCAAGTTACCTTTTCTTACTGTCGCCAATTTTTGCAAGTTCCATATTATTATTTCCGCTCACCGCAAGACCCCCCAGTGCTCTTCTGCCGCCTCGTGGTTCCTCGGTCCATCTGGGGGCTCGCTCCCCCACGAGGGAGCGGGAAGGGAGTTCTCCAATCCAGGACTCCTTTTTCTGCCCTTCGCCCCACTTGCCTTCTCCCATGCTGCCGACTTTGAACTACGTCTTGTCACATATCTCGACGACTCGTTTCGGCACGCCAAGCAAGGGACATCTTTCTTTCCTTACATACACCTTACACGTACAGTACTCTACAGTACTCGTAAATAAAGGCCGGATCTTGAGGCCCAATATTAATGCCTGCAAAACAAAATCCAAAGGAGACACAATAACGAAGACATTTTGGAGCACGACGGGCATTTTGCGCACGTCCATAATATATCCTCCCCCCCGCAGGCGGCGTTTTGTCGCGTCAGGTCGCCCGCGTGGCCTTCCTCCAAATAAAGCACCTTGCGTTTCAACCCGACCAGTCCGGCAGCCCAGCAGAAAGCACCAGGCACAAGCAAACAGCTGAATAAGGGCGAAAACAACCGTCACGAAAACAACACGGGCCATCATCATACCACCCCCGTCGCCACGTGGCACACGGCTGCGGTGGAAACGGAAACCCGTGCATGTATGTGTGCATGCATGTGTGTGTGTGTGTGTGTGTGTGCAGCACACCACACCACACCCCACCGCACAACGCGTCATAAACCCCATCAGACCAGACGACACCCTTAAGAGACGCTTACGGATCTGCCGCCTGCTGAGTATAAGTTTCGGAGCAGCTCAGGTTGTAGGCCTAGGCATACGATACGGACGCATCACATACATACATACATACATACACACGCACGACACGGCACGCACTCTGGCACAGTGAGAAATGACGTAATGCGTAGCTATTATGGGTGAAGAAGCGCATGTATATCGTCGAAAGGACAGGGCACTCAGTCACATGTCTTGGCATACCACCACCACCACCACCACCGTAACCTCCGTTCTAGGGGAAACGCGCTCTCCTTGCTCTGAGGCTGGAAAGAAAGAATAAGAGATTGAGAGTCACACCTCCATCAGGGTCCACTCACAGGGTCGAACAAAAGCAGAAGCAGCAGCACCAGCACCAGCATCAGTAGCAGCAAACGCGGCAAAGACCGACCACCCGGTGCATCGGATTTTCCTTCGTGTGCGCGGCACAAAACATAAAGCGCACACGCACACAACACGCGCACAATACACACGCACACGCACTAAAAAGACATTGTCACGTCGGGTAAGAGGGGAAATCATTCAGAGCAGAGGAGACACAGCGATAATCATAAATATATTGGCGGGTGTAGCTAATTTCACAACCCCACAAGGACACGGTGCGCACAAAAAGAAGTCTAAAGGGCCAAGAGGACGCGCACTGAAATGGCAAATAGGCATCAAGCAAAAAAAACACCGAGCAAACAACCAACCGCAAGTTTCCAGGAAATCTAATTTTTTAAAGACGGGGGAGCGAATGCCGCCACCCGAACCGTCCAAACCGTCCATCCGTCGTTCACAGGCGCAGGCAGCAGCAGAACATGCTCCTAGTAGGTGGCGGCGCGCGAGCATATGTGTGTCCTCGTTATTAGCCTCCTCCATTGGGATATTACGGACCGACTTCAAGCTGCCTATGTATTTCCCTCGTACCATTCGACCGCACAACACCCGTCGAATGAGCGAGTCATCATCACACAGGTGAACCAATATGGTGCGCCGCACAAATTAGAGAACACCCACACCACTCAGGAATCCGCACCACCACCACACACCAGCCATGCAAAGACACCTGCTGGCCTCTGGTACCTCTTCTTATAGCCGCATACATACATACATACGTACATACATATATACATATATACGTACATACATACATATATACATATATACATATATACATACATATATACATATATACATATATACGTACATACATATATACATATATACGTACGTATGCACACACGCACCACAGCAGCCGCCACCACTACCATCAGCACATCCATCCATCACTAACCACATCCCATGACGCATGATGGCGAGGAACTCTTTCGTTCGGTAGTCCAGAACCGGCCAGAACCAATATGTGTGTGTTTTGGGGGGAGGGGAGAGGGGAGGAAAGACGAACCACGAGCGAGTGAAGGTGATGCCAAGGATGCCAAAGACGGATGCGCCAGAAGGGGAGGGGAGGGAAAGGGAGCAGCCGTTTTGTCGCGTTCCCCCGCCTCAACCGTCCCGCCGCATCCAATCCAAAAGGCCCTCTAGCGTCACGCGCTAACTGCCAACCGCCAACCGACATATGTGCGTGCCCATAGTGCACCTTCCGCTCACACACGACCAGCGAGGCGAGACGCGACCGGACGTCCGGGCAGATATTGTCTAGTAAGCTTCTCCCACCCCGGGCACTTCTGACTGCAATTCAATCCTTGCGCAGAAGGCAAAACACGCAGGACTGCGTGGCAACCTGTTGTCTACTGCTACTACAACAGCAACAGCAGCAGCCGCAGTAGCAGCAGTAGCGGCAACAGCAGCAGTAGCAACCGCAGTAGCAGCAGTGGCAACACTCTGGACATCTTCATCCCCCAGCGCTGGGCAGCTTCAAACACTCCGCCGCCGCCGCGACCCCACGGACTCCCCTCCCCCCACTCCCATCCGCAGCACTGCCCTTCCAGTCACATTCCTCCTCGTCACTGACGACAGCCCGCCCACCACCCGCAAAACCCATCAAGTCCCAAAACCCCAACTCACTCAGCCGCGCCATAGCAAAGCCAAGCCCAGCTAAAGCCGCCGGAAGGACTGGAGAGCCGCACACACCAGTTTTCCCGCTCGCCAAAACCACCGACCCAAACCCCCCCTTATACTCAGAGAAGCGAAAGCTGCTCTGTTCCACAGACCCAAATAATATTATTGCAGCAGCAGCAGCAGCAGCAGCAAATGGAAACCACCACACCCGGCGAGGGATGATGACCAAGTCGCTGAGAGGTGTGGGCGTTGCAGGCGTTCACCCCGCGGGGGAAGAAACGATGATGCGTGTGTGTTTCAGACCCTACCAACCGCGCAGGATGGAGGGGCCCTCCCAGCCCCCAAATATTTTAAACGCCGCAATGGCGTCGCAGGGGATAAGGCACACAGGCGTGTTAGCCGCACAAAGCACATCAACGGCATTAATGCAAAAAGGACACTCGCCACAGGCCTCTCTATGTGCCCTCTCCAAAGCCGCGATACATACATACATACATACACACGCACCCGCGCGGCCAAGATCTCATCAACATAGATCTCATCTTGGCAGATGCTTTCCTCCCGCACACAAACACAAAAACATGTCCGACGGTGCGCACTTTCCCGCCTTCCTTTTCCAGCTTCCCTTTTTTCGAACCCCTAGAAACACGGGGTCATCCTCTCCGCCGCTTCTAGCTCCTCCTCTCCAAAGCCACACATCCTCCGACACCTCACCTCGCGTCACCGCACCTCACATCACATCTCGGGGTTCGTTCGGCACCACCACTACTCCCTCTTCCCTCCGCAGCCAGCCACTCGCCCGGCAGTGAGACATATCCAGAAACACCCGACACAGCACGCTGCGCAAAGTAGAGTCTTAAACAGAGAGCCCCTCTCCATCATCGCCATCACCATAATTCATGATCATCAATCGACATCGGCAGCAGCCCCTCCCTCCTCCGCCTTCACAACGTAACACCAAATACACCACAGCCACAATCACCAAACCCAATGTTTCCTTAACGCACCCGAAATGCGACACACAGACAGAAATAGAGACAGACAGGCACAGACACGCAGACAGACACACACGCACATCCTCTACTTTATCACCAAGAAACGGTCACCATGAGAATCATGTGTCGTTGATGTGCTATGTCGGACTGAATGATGAGGCGATAAGACTGGCCGATTCACAAACATACAGACCCGGGAGAAAAAGTATAAAAATGCGACCACACGTTCGCTTAATAGCGTCTGACTGACTGATGCGGCACTGGCGCCCAAGTCCATGGTGGCTGCGCCGCCTCGACGATACACACACGTTTCTCCCCCCCCCCGCCGCCCTTCCCGCCGCCCTCCCTCCGCATTCCCGCCGCATTCCCGCCGCCCTGCACTGTCTTATACACTACCACGCACAAGAATAATACCCAAATCATGGGATATTTGCGGACTTACTTCTGAATCGTCATCGGCCCGTAGCTATCACCCGGGCGGCCAAGGGCGGCCAAGACAGAGGTTATCCATGCCTGGCAGCGACGTTTGGACGGACAAACGGATGGACGGACGCACGGGACGCAGAATGACCACCTGAGCAAAGCAAGGGAGATGCTGACAACCCACCCACCCACCCATACGCGCACATGCACGTGCCCAAGCACCCATCCGAGCTTGCGCGCAACCTCCCTGACCTCCGTACTCCTCCTCCTCCTCCCCCCCAGCAGGGAGCTGCCGCAATACACGCTCTCCCGACCGCTGCCAATAGCCAGTAGAGCAAGCGCCATATCTTCACTTTGCCACACACGCACACGCACATGCATACACACACGCAATGCCGCACATACATACCTACATACATACCTTCCACACTGGCACACACGACTCACGCCCCGGGTAGCTGCTGCAACCCCAGGGAGATGAAATGTCTTGTTGCGCCGCCCTTGCCACCACCACCTCACACCGCACTTCACACCTCACCTCCTCTCACCCTACCCCAAACCATACGGGTCCTCCCTCGGGAGACGCCAAGAAGCACAGCGACATCCCTCCTTCCTCCCGTCCTCAACGGCAGCCTCCCATCCGTCCCGCCAGCAATAGCAACCTCACCACCCCTCCCTCGCCCCTCCATATCCCCCTCGAAACTGGCCCCTGGCCTGCTTGCCTGCCTGCCTGCCTGCATACACCTCTACCTGCCTGCCTGCTCTCTCCACTATGCGATACGTGAAAAGCTGAGTGATCAGATCAAATCAAATCAGATCATCTCAGACCACCAGACTAGACAAGACAAGACCAACCTGGAGCTCAAGACACCAAGCCATTTCATGCAAGCCAGTCAGCCAGCCAAAAAAGCCAGCCAGCAGCCATATGAGCCCCATATATCTTCTTTATGAGCCATGAATCACGTGCTCCGCGTCCCGTTCTGCCTCATCCATGGCCTTTCCGTTCCCGTCCGCGAGCTGCTGCCGCAGCACGCTGCCCCCACGCAACTCCCGATTGAGCTGCTGCGGTATGTATGTCTGGCTGATCCGAGCGGAGCCGTTGCCGCCCCCGCCCACCTCACTGATGCGAGCAGCCAGCTCCATCGCGCGCGCCATCTCCCGCACGCCCCGGGTGTCCCAGTTGACGTGGAAGCGGTGCTTGTACTCCTTGCGGTTCTTGATAAGACCTGCGCACCATCATCATCAACATCGTTAGCCCCATCATCATGATCATCATCATCATTAGCCCCATCATCATCGCCATCATTAACCTCATCAACATCAACATTAGCCCCCATCATCATCATCATCATCATCCCCGCCATCGCCTCTCCCGTCAAAATTCTCCCCCATTTTCCACACGGACAACCCCACCCACCCACACCCACACGCCCCGNTCGCACCCCCA